ATCAGGCTTCGGAAGTGTCACAAAATTCTTTATGGCTATTGGTTGGATCTTTGGACTTTAACTTTTGGGACAACAAGTTACACTTTCTGCAGAGGGGTCACCAGCAACCAAGCCATGTTCAACCTTGCTAAAGCCAACCGAAGCTCTGTTTTCCTTTTTCGACAGCCCCACAGTTTTACTTCAGAACACCCAACACATAATGTGGGTATGGGTCAAAACCAATGGTACCATTTTGGGGGTTTTCGGTGAACCACCCATTTTAGAACCCATTTTAGTGGGTGGATTGGGATGTTCACTGGGGGCTAACCGATTTGGATTTTGACCCATATGCAGAATCTGGAGCTCCGCGCCTCGCTCCGCGTCGGTTCGGTTCGCCTAGGCGGAGGTGGTGGTGGTGGTGACGCTCCCAGGCTTGGCGCCATCGGAGGCGGCTCTGGAGGCGAGGGACTTATCGAGCGAGCGAGCGAGCGAGGTGCCCCATGCATGTTCCCATGCCACTGCTCCCATACTCATGGTGCTTGTTGGGAAGCATTTTACAGCTTTGCTGATTGTGGTTTAGGGGGATTTTTTTTCGCTGAGCTGCTAAAGTTTGAGTTTTTGCTCTCCTTCCTGTGGCTGGACGAAATCCGTTTCGCACCGAACAAACCCTGGAATGATGAATCCCCTGTAAATACCGACAAACCATGGAAACCATGTGGTGCTTTTTTTGAGCTCACAGCATACTTGCAGAGCCACAAGGGCCGGGAGCAGTCGCTGGTGGTGGCGTTGCAAGATAAGAAAGCTTAGGTTTTCCAGTGTGTTCCCTTTGGGTGTTTTGATTGTCACTTTCAACCATTATTTTCTGTGTGTTCCCTTATTCAATCATTGTTTTGCCTTAGCGAATTTTGGTAGTTGTTAGTTGGCTTTTGGCCTTTTTCCCCTTTCAGCCAGCAACTTGCTGCTTTTCAAGGGTGCCGCCATCAACAAATGCGCAGCCATTTTGGGGGGTTCGATAAAAGGGATACCATAAGGAAGCCAACCATTTTGGGGACAGGGTTCATGTTTTGACTACCCCAAGTGTTGCAGAATGTTGTTCTTCCACAGTTTTTCCATCAAGACCATGTCATTTTTCAAAACCAACAAATTGGACTTTTTCTGACCAATCCACTCAGGAAGTGATCCATTTCGGGAACGGTCGTCATCCTGTTTGTCTATCATTGCCGGGAATTCCCGTCAGCTTGTAAATGAGATTATGAATGCAGGTGAACGAGGATTACACGGTCAGACATGGGAATGGGAGATTGTCCATTGCAATTGGGAATATTCCATGTGCATAAGAAAATTATATATTTTCACTGGTTGGTTTTAAAGGGAATGTTATCACTACTGGATATCTTGTTTTTCCCAGGTAATACACATGTGTGTTTGCTTTGCAAGCCAACAATACATATATATATATATATACAAAGCTCTACGCAAACCTTAGTAAGGCTATTAGTTAGTAGGAAGATAAACGCGACACTGCCGGTGGCCTATTATGCTGGCGACCTATTTTACTAGCAACTGGAATCCGAAACCTCTACATCAACCTTGATTTCGTGATCCCAGATGAGTCACAATCAACGCCCGGGTCATTGGAAGGTAGTAAATCACTCCCCTTGCAATTGGGTGCGGATATGCGGCTTTTGATTTCTTTACGTTGTTATGGGTATCAACCATTTTAAGACCGAGGTTTGATTGTGACTCGTTTTAGGCTTTGGACATACTGTAAATCTTACAGATCGTCTGGAGGATCAACGTTTGAACCGCATCTTGAGATGAGGGAAGGAGCCTTATAAACCAATCCCTTGTGGTTTCCTTTAAGGGGACCCCTGGGTTCATTCCCTCATTCCCTACTGAGCACCAAGACAAAGCCAATCGGCCAATCTTTTCGGGCGGGCGAGCGAAGGTCTCCGAGACCGAGTTGCGAGTCACGAGCCTGAGGCGTCGGGGTTATCGCAAGCCATTTTCATGATTGTTGTTGGGAAACATTTTACATTTTTGCTTATGGTGGTTCAGTGGGAAATCCCCACTTAACTGCTAAAATTTAAATTTTTACTCCCCTTCCAACGTCCCATATTTGTTGGCCGCACCCTTGAAGCCAAGAGTTTCGAACAGATTCGAATGGGGGAAATTGTTATATTTGCAGCCTTGGCCAGTCTGATGCTTTTGGCCATGGATGGGCTGGTTGGAATGAGGGAACCCGTTTTGGGGGTGGTGGAAACAGGGAAGCCAAAAGGAGAACCGACGCCGTGTTGGGTGGGTTTCCGAAACCCGGATGTTCGTGCGAGTGCCTTGGAAACGCAGTGGCCCTCTTTGAGCGGGATTAAGCTCGTGGCGAGATGGCTAGTATCCTCACAAAAAGGGCTGGTCAGTACCAGCCCAGGTACCCTCACCAAAAAATGGAGTGCCACACATTGGCACCAATCGAAGTGTCTTAAGCTCAGAGCAGACAAGGAGAGGAGCGCTAGCTCTCAGACCCCGAAAGACAAGCATTGATACACACAAAGTAAGTTGGCATTATCGAGGTGTACCGCCGTTGGATGGACACAATTCATTTCGCACTTAAGAACCCAACGGAATGTCTTCCCGACTCAAATACCAACAAACGTTATGGCTTTGAACTTGGTAAACCTCAAATTGAGGGTTAAAAAGCGAGAAAGGGGGTTGACAAAGGGTAAGTGCCCTATCCTGGGATGGGTGCTTTCGGGGTCTGGCCTTCTTCGGCGTCCGCCTGGCTGGATACTAAGGGCCTATTTGCAACGGTCATCTCTCCCCAGATCCAGGTTTGCCCTATGGTAGGTAACGGGCCGTTGTCCTTTCGGTGTTCAAAGGGTGGTTTCTTTCAGTGTTCAAAGGGTAGTTCCCCTTGTGACCTAATGTTGGCCCATATTATGAATAAACCCCTGACCCCTATTTATCAATGATAAACCCCTGTTTATGAATATGGGGGTGTCGCTGGTTCTAGTGGGGATTCATCACTTTCAGAGGGGAAGACCCCCAGATCAATACCGGAGGTTTATTGATATGAGCCGAAAAATATAACCCGTTGTATGTGTCAATGTAAGGCATGATCCCAGTTGTTTTGGACCTATCAAATCAGCTGCACCGCCGCTTGTAATTTGAAGTGTTGCAGGAGCGACCGCGCAAGTCAAACATGGGGCTCCGCCGCAAGTAAAGCGCAAGTGAAGAGCAAGTGACGCAGTGATGTTTCATCATCATCATCATCATCATCATCATCATCATCATCATCATCATCACCATCACCATCACCATCACCATCACCATCACCATCACCATCACCGTCACCGTCACCGTCATCACCGTCATCACCGTCATCATCACCATGGCCCAAAGATTAACACAATTTTCGCGCAAGTCCCGCGCAAGTCGCGCGCAGCGCGCACATGCCCCCAAACTGCTTGCAGCAGGAGTGGCCCATTTCTGTATTTTGCATTTTTTTTTCTGCAGATCCCAGCAATTTTGCCGAGTGAATTTGCTAGCAGAAAATTTGCAGCGGTGTATGCACATGAGACCTCAGACACTTAAAGGGGCATGCTATTGGGGGACCTTCTGCTTCTGAGGAGGACTGCCATTTTTTTTGCTCGTCTATCGTTAGTTTGGGGACGGCCACCCAAGTCCTCTTGGGGCAGCCAATCATTTCGTCGGTGGCTAAGTTTGTGCGGATACATCATGTTCAGTTGGACTTGGCTTTCCTTTGGTTAGCCTTGAGCACCCCGGGGTTCAGCTTTGACGACCGGCGTTCTTCAATTGACCCTTGGATGCGGCCGGGTTCTTGTCGTGTTGTTCGGAGGCCAGTGTGAAGCATACTGTGACCCTTTTGGGTTCAGAGGAACCATTTCCCGGTGCCAAGACCAGTTCTTCTTGTGGGGTCTGTGGGGTTCAATGGGCAAAATCCGTTTCGCGCCACTTTGAAACCATGTTTGAAACCATAACCTTTGTTAGTATTTACAGGGGAGTCATCATTCCCGGGTGTTTTCGCGATCGGTGCCGTGGGACCGCGGTCGCGCAGGCCAGAGCTGCCTCACCGCGTCTCTGTGGCGTTACCGGTGCCCGTAGAGACGGAGGCCAGCGCCACTTGGTTGCCGAGGGGTGGTAGGGGTAGTAGGGCTGGTGCTGGTGGTAGGGGCGACCTTCAACCTTTGCGTGTTGGAAAATGGGAAGCACTCACCAGACAGTTTTAGCTGTTTGACATGATTTTATCTTCTTTCCCTTGCGAAAAAATGGGCACATTTAGGGATTTTCCTGTCATTTTAAGCATCATGCTGCCAATTTTAGCGAGAGGAGTCCTTGGGGGATGCTTGCTCAGCCTAGGCCAAGTGGTCCAAGCGCTCCCAGCAGCTCACCGTGAAGCTCGCGGAAAAAAAGCAAACAAATTCTTCGAGCTGGCCATGGCTCGGGCAGCAACATGGGATTTGGACACCCCCAAAAGGGAGGTTTCACTTTGGTTTTGCTTGGTGCCCCTTTGGTATATTATAGCTGCAAGGGAATTCCCAAACCAGAATTATTCGTAGCATGGACCCTTGGAAAACTTCTCCGTCGTCTTCATCCCTGGAGTTCAGGTATCTTCCATGTGAGTATTCAACTGACCCTCAGTTGGTCAGTCGTCAGGCGTGCTCGTTGCAGACTTGATTTTCTTCCTGTTTGGTAATTACTTGGATGGTCTCAAAGGTGAAGCCGCTTGGTCGCTGAAAGGGAAGCCGATGTGAGCCCTGTTGTTGCGTGGCACCGTTGTTTCTCCCGTGTTCATGTCCGTTTGGTGGCTTCTGCACATTTCCCCTTTCGTTGCCGAAAGAGAAATGGAACCGAGACCTTAACCCCACCTTCATTCTAACCAAACAGGGGTACCCTCAAAAACGCCACCTTCCCCAGATCTCACTCTTCCCTCTCTGTGCATAACACCTCCGGGACACGCCGAGCGCTTCAGCTCCCTGTCCGAAGCCCATTTCCCGGCTCGCTCCATGCCAGCGGCTCCGCTCGAAGCGTCGTTTTCCGCGCGGGCGCCGGGGAGCCCCGGCTTTGAACCGCGAGAACAGCTCGAAGAATGGGTCCTCTGGTCGTGAAGGGAATGTAGTGCAGCGGGCTATATGCCAAAAAAGTTGCCTCCCAAGATGGAACTTCCAGGTACATGGATGGCTGCGTGGCAATTTGGTAACGGATCTTTGGACTTGAACCCTTTCTTTGAATGTTCTATTGGACCCACAACTAGTTAGGAGGGGTCAACAGCCACCAAGCTACCGGCAGAGTAGTGTCCTATTTGCCAAACTGAGTTTGGGTAGACCCTTGTTGTACCAGATTTGCTGTTTGAGGGTATCCTGTGTATCAGCTTCCTTCTAACTGGTGGCTTTTGAGGTTAGGGAATGGTGTTCCAATTGCCCTCTACAACTAGTTATCCCTAAACCAATCCAAGCCATCGGGGGCAGCTTGAGTCACCTTGGTTTGAAGGAACGCGGCTTTTGTTAGGCTGGGTTTCTGGGGTCTCCTGCAAAATGGTCTCTTTGTGATAGACGTAATATGCAACAGCGTTTGAGCATACAATTTTCGCAGTACCCCGATTTTGCCTGGAAGCTGCTGGAAATATCCTTATTTGTTCCTGGGGCCTTAACCAAATGGAAGTGGGACTGGGCATCCGATCGAGGCACTCATGCACCCGCTGAATTGGCTGGACTATGGTCTCTGCGCGCTCGCCTTGGACCCTCGGAGAGTCTCGGAGAGTGGGAGCTATGCCCGACGATCTAAGAAACCAGCAAGACGGGGTGTCGGGGAATCCTATGTTTGGGATCTCGTTGTTTGTTGAAAGCTGCTTGCTTGTTCTGACTTGGGAACTCACAATGCGGCTTATTTTTTCTGGCGCAGGAAGTCATGAGCAGTCTATCTTCATTGCTATCCGGGATTCCTTTCACGAACCGTCTCTCCCACTAACATAGCACCTGTTTGAGGGCGCCTGGAAGATCAACTTGATCCTGAAATGAAGGGACCCTCTGTGAGGTGCCATCTTAGTTGGAGGGAGGGTACCAGAACGCAGACCGGGCGGCAAAGCTTCAGCCCTTCAAGCCCCTCGGGGGAGAGGCGCCAGAATGGAGTGACCATTCCCTGCCCCAGACACGTGGGGTGCTTTCTTTGCGGGGTCCCCTTGCACCAACTGTTTTGATGGACCTTGCACATGCCTGAGCACTGGCCGGCTCAAGTCTCCATTCACGATGCTGAACCATTTCCTTAGTCTCTTTGTTTTCACTGCGATCGCAGAGTCCGAAGTCCAGATCGATGGCGAGTGCGGATTGGAGGCGAGGCAACAAAAGCACGGCCGCGTTTTGAAATCGGAACATCAAACATGCTGAGGCTTTGTTTGGGTTTCCCTTCGCAAAGCAGCCAAAAGATCACCCCAAAAGTTCACCCCCAAAAGGGCACCCCAAAAGGGCACCCTAAAAGGGCACTTCAAAAAGGCACCCCAAAAGGTCGCCCTTGAATTTCGCTTGAGTATTCCGAATTTCTACAAAGACGAGTTCATCTTTCCCTTCAAGCCACTTGTTCATGGCCTGAGAGCCCCACTTAGCCCGCAAAGCTGATCCCAGGTTTCATAAGCAACAAAACAAAACCAGCAACAACTTGAAGCTTGGATTTCCAGTGAACGCGGCTTAGCGCGGAAGCTTCGCGGAAGGATTGGCAGAACACTTGTGTGCTTCTTGTGTGTCTTTTCTTGAGGAGATGGAAATGTACTTTTTGCGACCTCCACGAACGTTGGATTTCCACTCAATGATTTGTACCTGAGATTGGTGTGACATCTGCGTACGGTCAGCTCGTGGGACAAGACCCTTTGCCGGTCGCCTCGCAAAGCTTGCCACTGGGACCGCGGTCCCCTTCACCAGCGACGCTGAGCTTGGGGTTGGATCCTTCCCGGTTCAGTTTCCTCTTGGAGTGCTGAACTCCCTCCTGAGTTCATGGACCTTAAATTTGGGAAAACAATTTAGTGGTACAGAAAGAATGTGGACTTTTGGCCAGTCTCGATGGGAAGTGAGCCTCACTCGGTCCCCTCCAGGCAGACGTGAGCTTTCTGCAGCTGCAGCTGAAAGAGGAGGTGGATCTCATGGCACACTGCTGGACGCTTGCCTTGATGGGCTCCATTGGTTTGAAGATTGCTCGCTCGATCACATTGAACCAGGGATTATTCATCAGCTCGGCATTCGCTTGAATGGCAATCTCCAACGCACTGCAAGGTCGCTCTCCCCAAATCAAGTTGAACCAGGGTGTCATTGATCATTGAGAAATTGCTCCCCCCAATCAAATTAAACGAGAGGTTCATTGATCAGCTTCCAATGCAGTGCGACGTTGCTTCCCCCAATCACATTGAACAAGGGGTATATGGATCAGCTGGGTTTTCATTCCAAAGGCAAGTTTCCAAATTGTTGAAATGTTGCTCGCACACAATCAAATTGAATCAGGCGTCATTGATCAGCTCGGCATATACTTGAAAGGCTGTTGCCGACGCACATAGGGATGCGTTGATCAGCTGGAGTTTCATTTGACACGCACTTCCCATAGCACTGGGAGATTACAACCCACAATCACAAAGGACCAGAGGAATATTGGTCAGCAGGGTGTCATTGCCTCGCCCCCAACAAAATTGAAACTGGGGTCATTGATCAGCTGGGCTTTCATTTAGAAGGCAGTTTCGCCCCCAATCCACACGTGCCAGTGGTTTGTTGATCACGGGCGTTCATCCGGAAGACATGTGCCAACGAATTTACTGGTTGCTGTTCCGAATCCAATTAAACCAGGGGTATATTGATCAGCTGGGTTTCATTTGAATGGCAGTTTCCGATGCATTGGGAGGTTGCTCCCCCCAATCAGCATAAGACAGCAGTTTATTGAGTTGGTTTTCTTGAAAAGCAGTTGCCAACTCTGGCCCCCAATCAACATGATCCAGGAGTATGTTCATTTGAAAGGCAGTTCCAACGAAAACGTGGGAGGTAACAGGAAAGGGTGGTATGTCCAGGAAAATACTTGGACCGACTCGAGTCAGAGACTCACTCCCTGAGTTTCTGAACTTTGTGTGGTGATTTGGGGGGCTTCCGTTGTAGTGAGCTACACGCGGCTATACACAGAGATTGGGCTTGTGCCTCAGGAAGTGAGTTGAGCCACAATCAAAACCCGGGTGGATGACGGGTAGTAAGGAGAAAAAAACCAACCATAAACGACCATGAATAGCTGCGGCCGCCTTCTTTTGTTTCCATAGTTCTGCGTAGACCATTTTAATACCGGGTTTTGACTATGACTCAGTTGAAGATAAGGACTGTTTCAGAAGTCCTTCAACGAGGCGAAGAGGCAAGCGCCAAAAGGGCTGATTTGTCAAAACCTTTTGGTCGGCGATGTCTTTGACCGAGAGAACACATTGACCGAAGCCTGTTGGACCTTGGCCACCAGCCTGTTGAAATCTTAAATAAGTCCAGCCAGCCTTGGACGTCTTCATTCTTTATGGTTTGCGAAGAGTTCCACCGATCCTGGTTTTGACTCAAACATCGACCCTTGACCCACGAGTATCGCTCGATCACCTGCGTTTGTTTTTGAGGTTGAGTCTTGGGAGATTCGACCTAGGGTCTCCATGACCGATAGACAATGGGTCCCTGACCCTTTAAATTTTGGGGAATGGCCAACCATTTTTTAAGGGTCATGGAGACTCCGGGTTTCGGCCAGCCGTTGGTTTCCTTTTGCCGGAGGAATATCTCAGCCGACCTATATTCACCTGCAAAGGCGGGGGTGTCTCCTGTCTCCAAATTTCTCGGGTTTGGTTGGACTAGGTCCCCCAGTAGTGCCCTTTCTCACCCTTTTTGGGGGCGGGTTCCCCTACTAAAATAGACTGACTACGGAAAAAAAAGGTACCTTATTCTAACCTCTCTACTGGAGGAGTGGATGTTCGAGCAGCTTCGTAAGTGGTGAGCCGCTTGGGGTACAACGCAACAAGGTTAACCCCACTGAGTGGGGACGATGCCAACTTGGCGCATCGATCAATCAGCTAGAGACAACATGTTGACCTACAGGAGCTGGGGTCCAGAGAGTTTGGGAAGAGCAACTATGAAACCCTCCTCTGGACCCCAAATATCGTGTTTAAACCATGATGACCAACAGGGTTTGAAATCATAAATCTTCGTTTTTTTAACTGTTGGGTATCTCCTCTTCTTTTTGTTTCAAGGGACTCCACCATTTTGGTGGTTTGCCATATGGGTTTCCATCCATTGAAAACCACCAAGAAAGCGGTAGCCTCAAAACAAGACACCCATATTCTGGTGCCTAGGTTTAGCTGAGTTTATCTATCTTGGTTGCTATTTGTGGTTCTTGATCGAGGAGAGATTGCAAGATTCAGTGCCTCCACAACATTCATAGGATGAATGTACTCGCCCATGAGCCCATGCCCTTTTTGACCGCCGGGATTCTTTATATAGCTTAGGCCTGAAAACATAAGAGGCTCTGTGAAGAAGCTCTCAGGATCTGGACCCTCTGAGTTTGGGGAAAATGAATCCTGCGACCCAGAACCCTACCCCGCACACTGCCAATAAAACATGGAGCAACTGGGGGATGCTCTGGAGGCTTCTATAATTTAGCCACTAACCAACTCGGGGCTCCAAGGGATCCATCTGAGGCGCAGCGAAAATTGAATCCTTTTCATGGCACCTTGGAATATATCATATGTCCCCGGCTGGTTGTTTTCCAGCCGCAAAGTTTAGCCAATTTGCGTCCTCGTCCTTGCAACTTTTCGGAATATGCTCAGTCACACAGGCTTGCGGGTGGCCTTTGTGAAGCAGTTCTGACAAATATTTGCGAGCTGGTTGATTCGGGGGACCCGAATCAGGTCTGTAGCTGAACCTCATTGCGGTGGGGTCATCCTTGGTGTGGTCTTGTGGATGTGGTAACGCCGGCAATGCGTGCAGTAACAACATGTCGAATTCTATCCCAAGTAAAGGACCTACATCATTGTGAAGCTCCTCAATCGGTGAGCTCGGCATTGAACAGGCAGAACATCGCACATCGCCTGCTTTGTTTTTGTTTTTTCAATTCAACATTGTTTGTGGCTAAAGAAGGAACCACTGGGCAACAGCCACTATAATAAGACGGAGCGGTACATGTGTGACAGTAGGGAAACCCCGCGCCCAATCAATTTCACCTTACCTCACACAACTTGTAATTGGAAACGGACCCTTTGGTGGGCAGCATATTCATAGTCCCGCCCCCAAAAAGGCATGCCCAATTGAGCCATAGTCAAATCCGGGTATCACAAATGATCCACTAAAAACCATGTAAATAATTGCAAGGGCGGCCGCACCTACTTGTATACAAAAGGAATTTGTGGCATTGATTGGAATGAGATCCCAGTGGTGAAAAGCTTGGTTCTGTTCATTTTCCAACGCCTTGTGTTTTCTTTTCTCAACAATGGGTCTTTCTCAAAGTAGGCGAACTCCCGAAATGGTAGGGTTCCTTGTTGTTAACCTAAAAAGAGCACAAACTGTTTTAAAAGACACGGACCCATTCCCCTGGTTCTTCTAGAGGGTATCTTTGAAACCAGCCCTTAGCCACCATCATTCCAAACCAATAGAGGGAATCTGACATTCCTTGATTCCAGACAGTCAAAGGGTCGGGTTGGAGGCAATTCTACAGGAAAACGGCTTGTTTGCGGTGTTTTTTCCTGCAGATTTTCCTGAAAGCAAGCCCCTTGAGACAGGTCTTCCATTCGAGGCTTTGTACCTTCGTATGTCTCTGGAATTCCGGGACGTTCCAAAACGGACAAACAGTGTTCCTTTTTGGTTTCACGGGAAAAAACAAACCTACAAACAGTAGCCTCAAAGACCAGACATTGGCACTCTTCAAGGAACATTGCGCTTTGTGAACTATTGCAGCATCTGCAGATGAATGACTGACCTGGCGTGGGGGGCCCTTTGATGATTCTCTATTAACCAGGCTCCCGCCTGCTGCCGCCGACCCTCGGCGCATTAAGGGAAAAGTCACAAGGACCGGTCCTGAAACACGTCCGCAAACCCGGGGACCACTTAGAAGATCCTCTACGACCACAAACAAGGATTAACGGAAAAGTCAGAAATAGGGCAGCTAGTCCGTTAATTACCGCGTGGGCCGGCTTGCGCCCAAGTCACTTCGAGTTGGCGCCTCTCCCGGGGTCGCCCTGAAACTGGCCCTCCCGAAGTTGCCCTGGACCGGTCGCCGGCAGGGACCGGGACTTGGGACCCTATCCAGGCTGGTCCCAGTCTGGCGCGGTTTGACTCGACGTCTTGGACTCTCTTGCAGAATGGATCCAGGGATCCTCTACTACCTCAGCAAATCCCTTGTGGGGCCTCTTGTTTTCGGGGCCTTCCAAAGAGCTGGAAGAAGCAGGAAGCATCAGGAAACAGCAGCAAAGAAACATGAAACAGCAGGAAACAAAGCAGCCCTTGAACGTAGAGCTCGCGCTTGCAAGGGTAAGCTCCGCGAGCACACATTTTTATTGTACACGCTTCGTGCTGCCCGCCTCGGCCAGCATCAGCCAGTTTCGGCTTGCTTTGAAGGAATGGCATTTCGTTGTGGGCGCTCACTTCAAGGACGCTTGCAGGCGCTGTCGGCTCCCTTTGTGCCTCTCTTGGTGGGCTGTCTTGGTGGACGCTTGTGGGCGGAAGTCTTGCGGGCGATGTTCATGAGCGCTTGCGGACGCTTGTGGGCGCTCCTTCGTGGGGCTTGTGGGCGCATGTGGGCCACAAGGACGGAAGTCTTGCAAGCGTGCATGATGAGTGCTTGCGGGCGCTTGTGGGCAGCACTGTTGCCTCTGTGGGCGTTCCTCTTGGCGGGTGCTTCTAGGCGCATGTGGGGGCTCTTCTTGGGCGCTTTTGGGTGTGCGGCGCATATGGGCGCTCGCCCACTGCCGCCCACAAGCGCCCGGAAGCACTCATGAAGAACGCCCGCAACCACCCACAAGCACCCACCAAGAGCGCCCACAAGTGCCCGCAAGCAATTATGAAGGGAGCGCCTGCAACAGTGCCGCCCACCCCCCCCCCTCACACCCCACAAGCACCCAATGAAACCCCGCCCACATGCGCCCACAAGCGCACCCAGCAGAGAGCGTGGGGTTGCGCTGTTGCGGGCGCCCTCAGCGGTCCATATGGGCGCTTACATTACTGGGGTTCAAACCTTCTTTTCATGGGGGTTGAACATGTTTACCTGACTCCGAGTGGACTGGCCAAAAACTGCAACCAAAGTTGTCGTTTACAACTAACATGATCTTCCCAAAAATAACTAAAGTCCAGGACCAGGGAGTGAGAATCCAAAGGGAAGGGTTCAAATTGCCGCCTGTTAATGTTTACAAGGGCGGCATTCAACGACACCTTCTGGAAGCATTTCTGGCCCAACAGCTGAGAAAGGTTGCAACCCCATAGCCTTTGGCCGCAAGGTTGTTTTATTTTTGGACTAGCTGCGCCGCGCATATCTAACCGTCAACCTATTCGGCTCGTCTTGTTGGGGGCCCGCAAGGAGATTCTCCTTTTGCTTTCCCTGTCCCTGTCTGTCAAATTCGGTCAGGTCTTGTGTCATTGGCCCAGAACCCAAGCTTCTTGGTGCCACTCGCCTGCCCAAACGCATAACAGCCTTGCCTTCTCAACGCCCAATAAGACGCCCAAGCGCCCACAACGCTGCCCACAAGCCCATGCTCACAAGCCCCCAAAACTGCCCACAAGCACAAGGAAGAGCGCCCGCAACGGCGCTCCCGGAAGACGCCCGCAACACCGACGCCCACAAGCCCAAGAAGAAGCCTGCAACGCCCACAAGCGCCCGCAGGCCCAAACAAACAGCACAAAACTCTCCGCAAGTGCCCACAAGGAAGAACAGCGCCCACAAGCCCAAGAACACCGCCCGCAACGCCCAGCAAGAACGCCACTCACATGTGAGTATCTGGGAAGCTCAGTTTTAGACCCTTTGACCGGTTGATGGACAACGGCAAAGTCTCACGTGTTGGGGTTGGACCATTTTAGTGGTTGTGGCTTTGGACATTTTGCTGAGCTTGTGTGGGCGTTGTTGTGGGCGTTCTTCCTTGCGCGGGCGTGGGTGGCGTTGTGGGCGTCGGTGGCATTGTGGGCGCTCTGTTTTGGGCCTGGGGGCGCTTTGGGCGGTGTAGTGCGCTCTCTCTCTCTCTCTCTCTCTCTCTCTCTCTCTCTCTCTCTCTCTCTCTCTCTCTCTCTCTCTCTCTCTCTCTCTCTCTCTCTCTCTCTCTCTCTCTCTCTCTCTCTCTCTCTCTCTCTCTCTCTCTCTCTCTCTCTCTCCCCCTCTCTGTCTGGAGTTTGTGGTTGTTAGCGACTCCGGAGGCTTGTTTGTGGATGACCTCTAGCTACTTTTGTGAGTACCCAGGCGCACGTAAAACTTCAGCGCCTTGTGTGTCCGTGCGCGCACACGCTGCGTACGTGAATCAGTGTGCAAGAAACAGCTGGCGGCGGGAAGGGAGAGAGGGAGGGAGGGCGGAGAGGGAGGAAGGGAGGAAGGGAGGGAGGGAGGGAGGGAGGGAGGGAGGGAGTGAGGG